TATATATATATATTAATTTAAATCTTACCATTGATTTATTTTTGGTTAGTTTAGTTTGTTTTACATATATATTAATAAATCACACCATTTATATTTTAATAATAATAATAATAATAATAATACTGTATTATAAAGTAAATGTTTAGGTTATTGCAAAATCACATCACTATTTTCATTGAAAAACAAAAAAATTTTACATTAAAATTAAAATATCAATATATCGACAGATTATATAATACAAAGATTATTATAGCTTTTTGTGTTTTTTAAAAATAAAAAATCAAATTTTTTTGACATTTTCAAAAAAAAAATAATTACATATTATATTGCATAACACATACAATATATATATATATATATATAGATATTATATTACAGAATATTCTTGTATGAAAAATATCGGAGACATTGTTATTAATATATAACATAAAAACATTTATGTATAATAATAATAATAATTATAAAACATGTTTATTATATTAAAACAACAATAATAATAATGAAAATATTATTCAACTAAACACTTACGGCACTGGCATTGGACTGATTGGCGGTATTATAGTCCCTATTATTATTGGTGTTGTTGTTATGTTGTTGTTGTTGGTTGTAATGTATGCCAAACTTAACCGACCAACTATTTCTTTGGCAACTATTATTACTACTACTAGTATTAGTAGGAGGAGGAGTGGTATGACTACCAGCAGCAGCAGCAGCAGCAACACTAGGTCTCACATTTCTTATGGCTTCACCGGCACCGACACCAACACCGGCAGACTCTTGATTATGCGTTTTATGTACTGTTCCCACAATATTATTAGTATTAGTATTAAGTTTTATGATATTATTTTTATTATTATTATCAATTTGATTATGTTTAACATGATTATGATGATCATCATTATCATCAACATTAACCACACAATTATTATTTTTAGTATTATTTGTTTTTGATTTTAGTATACCTTTAATAGCGGTCATTGTTTCAGGTTTTCGGTTATTCAATAGAGTTATATCATTATAATTATAATTATTATTATTATTGCTATACTTTTTGCTATTTGTTTTATAATGATGAACCTGTGCTGTAACCGATATGCTATTATTAGTATTATTAATAAAATTATTATTATTATTATTATTACTGGCTAATGAATTAATTGCATTTAAATTGCCATTATATGTATGGGTCGGATATAATAATAATGGTGTCGACCCATTAGCCAACAAACGTTTAGGCAAACTAAACGGTATATTATTATTATTAGATTGTATTTGCATTGTCTTTGGTATAAATACCGTATTATTATTATTATTATTATTATCATTACAATCATTAACCATTGGTTTTGGTTGTAAATGCATTGTTTTATTGTTATTATTATTATTAATATAATAATAATTATTAGTTGTTTAAGCAATAAATTCCAACACATGATGTTTGCTATTATTTTTTGCTTTTAAACAAAAATTATTATTATTATTATTATTATTATTATTAATGTAAATTTAATTATTTCATAATAATTTTTTATCATTATTATAACTTATTTTTATTTTTTGGGGTTAATTATTGTAATTTGTTATATCTATATGTTATATATTATATACTGTATATATATTATGTACATGAAATTTTTTTTATTAACATTTAAAAAAATTATTATTAAACATATCTATTATTAATATCTATTTGAATATTCACTTTATTATTAAAAAAAATTTTTTTAGATATAATAAATCTCAATTAGTGAGACTAAAAATTTGAATTTTTTTTAAAAAAAAACATTTTTATGTTAAATATACTGTATATTGAAAATCAATAAATAATTATTGATAAAAAAAACTAGTTTCTTGTTATCTTAAATATATAAAAATTATTATCAATTTTAGCGATGAAATAATTTTGTGTCATTATTAGTAGTTTATAATTATTGTAGAAATTATTTTATTATTTTATCTTATTTTTAATTTAGTTAAATATAATATATTATTTAATGTATTCATAATTGAAATTATTTTTTTCCATAAATTAAACATTTTATTAAATAAATTTTTAATAAAAATTAAATTTCTATTTAAACAAACAAATAAAATAGTTGAAATAAAATATAAACATATTTATATTATTAATTAATTAAACACACAGAATATTATGGTTATACTAAATAAATACATAATAATAATAATATTAAAAAAATTAAAAAAATTAATTTGATTTGATTAGAAAATCATTAATTAATTAATAATTAATTACTAATAATTAAATTATAGATAAGTTGACAAAACACACACACATTTATATTAATATATATATATATATATGTTTCACTAATTCATTATTAGTAGATTCAATAAATAATAATAATAATTAATTATTATTATTATTATTATTCTGTGATACAAAATGTTACAAAAAACATGAAACATAACAAAAATATTGTTTCAAATTTTTTTTTCATATCATAAGCCATTGAGAGAGTTCACAATCCTTTTAGACGTTTGCTCAGCAAATATAATATTAATATATATATATATTATATACATAATATATATATATATATATGTATATATATATAATAATATAATAATAATATACTGTATATATATATTTATTGATAGATTATTATTATTATAACTTATAACTTATAGCTATATATTTTACTGTATATAACTCTATCTGCGCATCTCTATATTTAATTAATTACTTATAACTTATATATAATTATATATATATATATATATAATATTAATATATTTTATTAGGACCCTTATATAATTGTATTTTTATATGATATATAATATTTATTTAATGGAAAAATATATTTGTAAGGATAGTTTTTTTTAATATTTATTGACCAAAAAATATATTATATATATATACAGTATATTAAAGTAATTTATTTTTGTTGGTACTTAATAATCAATGGGTGCTTTTTTCAACCCCAAAAAAACCATATATTTATATAATTATTTTTAATTATTATAACAAAATGATAATTTTTTTTATATGTATGTATTTATTATCTATCGTTGTTGTTGTTGTTGAACTGATTTATTATATAAATTATTATTATTATTATTATTATGACATATAATCAATACAAATGTAAATTGATGTACAATCACTTTGGATAATAATTGATGATAAAAAAATGCTATTTATTATATAATTATATGCTATAGATAAATTACAGATAAATTAATGATTTATTATTATTATTATTAATCAATAACCAATTAAATATATAGCAATATATATATATATATGTATATATAAATAAATATATATATTAAAAATTTAAAAAAAGTTTATCTAATTTTTGTTATACTATAAATAAAATATTGTAAATAATTAGTTTATACAAACAATATCTAATTATTAAACTTTTTATTTCTCATATAATTAATTTTTAGCAAATAATTTTAGTCTAAACTAATTTAAAAACATTTTAATTAATTAATTATTAACTATTTTCTATAGAAATATCAATTTAATCAAAATTAGACCAAATATATCTAAGCTATATATATATATATATACAATTCATTTGTATTCAATATAACAAATAATTAATTAATTGATCTAAATATACAATATATATAAATATATATATATTTCCAGTTAAATAATAAAGCTTTTCCTATGAAATTTTATTGACGTAATAAAGGGTTTAATACAATACAATACTATACTATAAATAATACTGAAAATACTGGACACTAACAGTTAATCCAATTGATTAGTCCAGAAAAAACATATATATATATATATACTGTATATACAGGTATAAAGTGTTTACATATACTGTATATACATTTTATATATACTACTGGACATACCTTACATTATATATATACAGTATATATAACTTTTTTTTATATATACACACACATAATAGGTAATATATTAGCGCAACCTAACGGACAGGTATTTACTTAAATTAGTTGTTATGTGTGTTGTGTTTGTGATTGCATTGATAGTTACGTATAGAGAGAGAGAGAGAGAGAGAGAGAGAGAGAGAGAGAGAGAGAGAGAGATAGAGAGAGAGAGAGAGAGAGACCTTTGCAACGGAAAGGTGTTTATAAGCGATAACACAAACTGTTTTCACTCAACAAAAAAAATAACTAAAAACTATAAATAATAATTTTGTTCACAAACTATGCGACTCTAGAGAGGGATTTATAACTTATAAACAGTATATATACTGTATATAACTAATATTTGAAAGTAAAAACAATGCAAAAAAAACAACAAAACGGGTAGTTTTTTTTAAGGGGTAGGGTTTTTAGAAATATATATATATACTGTATATGCTATATGTCTATATACAAGTTTCAAGTTATATATATATATACAGTATATGAGATAACAACTCCCAGGGATTTTGGGGAGTGATATACATATACAGTATTAGGTAGGAACTGGCAGTTAGGAAATATACAGGTAAACAGTATTTTTTAAATATATATATAATATTTAAATGTTATATAAGTTAGAGAGGAAATGAGTACACAAACACACACACACACAATGTGTTTGCCCTTATCATCAAAAATTTTTATTTATATTTAATATATTTGTTTTTATTATTTCAAAAAAAATTTTTCGTCAATGACTCAATTTATAATACAATTATTATTATTATTTTAAATACTAATAATAGTGACAATGATTTTAATTGAGAATATTTTTAATTTAATTTTACTCATAATATGATTTTGAGTAAAAAAAAATTATTTATTTTTATTAAATTATTAATAACTATGACTTAAATATACAGTAATAATACTAATAATAAAGTTTGGACACCACTTATATAATATCTATAACATATTTAACTTAATGGTCACAAAGTTTATGTCAACATTGTTACAACAAATATTAATAATAATATAAAAATCATTTAATTAGAGATTATTTTAATTTTTATTTATTTAGTTATTTAAACAAATTTTTATAGTTTATACACACATAATTATGTTCATAACTATTCAACAAATTTTATATCAAATAATTGCAATAATAATATGTATAATAATAATCATCGATGAGATTGATTTAGCTGATGGCCAACAGTTTAACACACCGCCGCCCAATCGGGTTTTCTATGAACAATGGGGTCACTATCATAACTACGACCCCCGTAATCGGCCACTCGAGTCGGATCGGGGCGGCGGCTATCGTAAACATTACGATGGCTATCAATACGGTGTAACACCTGATCCGAGCCGTAGACGACTGATTGAAGATCCGGGAGATTTGCGCTGTAAGGAGGCGTTACGCGAGGGTAATGTAGTTTTATTTTAATTATCTCTCTATAGATATATAATAGTAATTGTGTCAATACCCCCACCCCAACAACCCCACCCACTCCACCCGCTTAGGTTTGGACGAGTTTGTAACAGTTAATACACTGTACGGCAATGTTGTCGGCCGTATTGTCTACCTATGCGACGGTCCGGGTCGATCGGTACGCGAGAGGCCATTGCCGGCTAAACTAAAACTACGCGAAAAACAAATGGGATCACCTAATCGGTACAATCCTATCAGGTCGTTCTGGAAAAATGTGACCACTTTTCTGGGCATACCCTATGCCAGGCCACCGATACGCGAGTATAATCTAAGATTTCAGGTAAACCGTGTGTTTTTTTTGGGATCAATTACCAAAAAAAAACTAACAATTAATCCCCTAATATAACAACAAATAGCCGCCATCGCCGCCAACTCCGTGGGGCAGTATATTTGCGGACAGGTATCAAAATTCGTGTCCCCAATATATTACACATATTGGCAAAGATCTGGGTATACCAGTTACCGATGAAGATTGTCTCTATTTGAACATATTTACACCGTGGGCTATGTCCCGGGTACGCGACCCCTATCCGGTTATGATGTATATTCACGGAGGCTTTTTTGATCACGGATCGGGTAATACGTTTGCCGGCCATATGTTGGCCGCCTCTCAGGAAGTGGTTGTCGTTACCTTCAACTATCGTTTAGGACTTTTAGGTATGACTTAGACAACAACAACAACAACAAAAAAGCGGTAAATCCTAACCTAATCAACCAATTGGTTACTTTTAATTTAATTAAATAGGATATTTGGCAACTGCTGACAACGCATCGGCCGGTAATTTCGGACTAATGGATCAAATTCAGGCCATCAATTGGGTACGGGATAATATACGCAATTTTAATGGCGATCCCGACCGGATTACACTGTTCGGACCGGATGCCGGTGCCGCCAGCGCCGGCCTATTGGCCATATCTCCTATTACCAGAAGTATTAAAAAATTTAATTACCGGTAATTAAAAAACAAAAACTAATTAAAAACAATTTTTTTTGAATACCGCCGTCCGATAGGATACATAAAGCGAGTGATAGCCCAAAGCGGTTCGCCAGTAGCCGACTGGGCCTTCATTAGGGATCCGTTATTCATGCGTAACACCAGTGTTGTGGCCGGTTATGCGTTCGGCTGCCGAACCAGACATACCTACAATCTGGTTGAATGTTTGAAAAGCCGCAGTGCTATTGATTTTACTACTACTCAAGTTAAGGTACAGCACATATATCTATCAATATAAATACGGTATATACCAATAATAATAATAATATGATTTTTCTATGTATATGATGAATAGCCTGATGTTGGTTGGCTAGCTTGGGCACCGGTAGTCGATCAGTTTACACGCGAACGTGGCTATCAAACAATACCGGATATACCCGAAAATTTATTGCACGAAAATCGGGTAGAATTTGATCCCGAATTTGCTTATATGACAGGAGTTACCAGAGATGAAGGATCAAAATTTCTTTGTAAGTCTCACCCACTCACTCACTCACTCATTCACTCACCCACTCACTCATTCACTCACCCACTCATATATTTTAATAACTAACTGTACTGTTTGATTCTGTAATAGTCGCCGATGAAGAACTTAAACTCCGAAATTATGTGGTCGACGCCGACTATGTCCACAAAAAAATTGCCGATTATGTCCGCATCTATAACTATACACTGGATCAGGATGCAGTGGTCAGGGCCATCAAATTTATGTACAGTCCGTGGTCGGATCCAAACAATCTGACACTTATCAGACAGGGATATATTGATGTAATCTATAAATATCTACCGACCAAATCGGGGTTAAATTGATTATTAATTATCCGTATATTCCTATTGTGTATTATAGATGTTAACCGATTCGTGGTTTACCGCTGCCAACGATAAGATGGTCAAACTGATGCTCCAAAATAATGTCCGAACCTATATGTATGTATTGAACTATACCATCGAAGGCTTGAACCTACCCGATTGGATCGGTGTACCTCACGATACCGAATATCTTCTGGCCACTGGTGCACCGTTTATGGACTCCCGATTTCATCCGTCATCCCTTCAACTGGATCAGGCAGTCTGGACGGAAGCCGACCGCAATATGAGCCAATTGATTATGGAATCATGGGCCAACTTTGCCCGCTACCCGAACTGCCGACTACCGCACGATTCACTGAGACCACCGTTACAACCGCCACCGCCGCCAATACCGGCCGAAAACCTGGACAACTTGCGGCGTGTGTCGCCCGCTAACTGGTGCGGTCCGACACCGTTTGCATTGTTCAATACAATACTATGGGAACCGATGAACCAGAAAAATCTCCAATACCTGTCCATCAATTCGACTAACTATACCGGCTATTGGCAGACAACTACCTGGGAAAACAATCAACTGTCCAATATTAACCTGAATGCCTGGAGTACGTCGGTTATGTGGCGCGACTACAAACAAAAGGCCAGCCAATTCTGGAACCATTATATGCCGTCGATTGTCGACCGGGTGCCGCCCACTTGGCCGCCAACCTACGAGCCGTACGAAATTGAGCTACGCCTGTATCGGTCGGCCACTTGGTCGGTATTGGCCGCTCTGGTCGTACTACTGGTGCTCGTATTTTTGTGTTCATGTCTCTACTGTCGGGCTAAAAGGTATGGATATCTTGTTGTTTGAGTGTTGTTATGATATACCCGATCTTATTGGTGTATGTTTTTTGTTTTGGTGACCAAATTTAGTGACCGATACGGTGACGCCGGTATCGACGAGTACATACATATACCCGATATAGCAACTATGGGTACACAGTATAGCGCACCGTCTACTAGAGTCAACTCGGAAATCAATTTAAGGTAGGATTCATGAGAGATACATGAGCTTCAAAAAGTTTTATACTATAATTTTTTTTAAAAATTAAAAATTTAACCCCGGTTATATCGGTATATATATATATATATATATATATATATATATATTTATTTATTAGTTTTCATCCGAAATCTGAATATCCGCGATCAAAGTTCCGATCAAATGATAAGATTTATGTGGCCAGAGATAAACATACGCAGGTCTGAATATTACCGCACACTGACCACTGGCCAGGAAAGGTATATTCCCGATAACAAACAAAAAAACTTATACCTCAACAATGCGCTCAACACACACTTAGTATTATATAAATATTATAGTTTATATATATATATATATATATTTCAAAAAAAAAGTTATTTTGTTTTTTTGTTGTGTATCTATTTGTTGTGTTATAATTAAATTATATATTTAAATGTTTGTTTTACGGTAAGTGTTTTGGACAAAAAACAAACAAATAAAAAAAAGTAAAACTTTTTTTTCAATCTATAAAAAAATTAGTCATTTAAAGTCATAAATATATTATAAAATTTATATAAAGTTTTTTTTTATATATCTATGAAATTGATTGACTTTAATGTTTTTTTTGTTGTTGAATAACTGCCACTTATATCACACACACACACATATGTATCAGTCAATAATCAATTGTCACAAATAATTGTTAAAAAAAATATTATCTTAATTTTTTTTTTGATCAGAGATTAGCTATAAATATTATACATCACATTTCAATGTCATTAAACATAAAAAACAATAACTGTGCCTAAAATTTTTTTTAATTATTATTGTTTTAAAAATTTTATATATCGTCTATATATTTTGTATTATATGTGAACACATTTATAATATATATATACATACATTACATATAATATAATTGTGTATAAATATATTTCACCCACATTATTATTATTATTATATTTAGAAACAAAAAATTTACATAAATTTTATACCAAATATATATATATAAATATATTTAAAAAAATTATATATTAATAATTTCTAATCGATCTCAACGACAATAACAACAACAAAAAAATGCAAATTAAAAATTTTTTAAATAAAAAAACTGTTTTAATTTTAATTATTATTATTTATTAATTTAAAAAAAAAAATTAATTTAACAAACCATAGCAAACCATTTTGATGAGAGAGCATAATATAAATGACTATAACTATAGTAATAGTTAATACAGTAATAATAATAATAAATGACTAAAAAATATTGAAAATTTAAAGATAATTGCAAACAAACAAACAAAAAATCTTCGATAAGGAGATCCCGACTATCAGTTACCGTATGGACATAATGACCATCATTATCATCTGCATCATCACCAGCCTAGATGTTAACCTCTTTAATCTTAATAAATCGTGACAAAACTACAACAACTAATATACAGCCGATGGTCATTACGGCGGCAAACATATAGAAAGTTTCCTCATCGAACAGGTCATCAAATGTTGGGATATTTCGGTAAATTTTGTTAAATATATTCAAATCGGTGGCCATATGGTTTTTATTTGATTTATAATAATTATTATTATTGTTGGCCATTATCGGTAAAATTATTATAGGATCCAATCAATCAATCAATCAATAAACTACTTTTTTAAACAGTGGC